ATTCTGGTAAAGATCTATAATAATCTTGATCTGTAAATTGACCTACTTTATTTAGTTTTCTGAGTGTGTTGAACTTTACATATGACTTGTGGAGTTAGATCATAGTTGAGTTTTTTTGTTTTGCCTCCTGAATGTTTTTGTATTTTGGCTAAAGCCAAAATTCTGAATTCTATCAGAATTAATTTGCACTAGTTCAGATCCTTTATCGAACAGATCTTTATTGTATTGTCTTTCTTAATCTCATAAAGAGCTTTACGTTGTTCTTTATCTAGATTACTTTTGATAGGCTTAGCCATTTTTAAAATTCTCATAACATCTTGTCTTAATTTAACTCCTTCAGTTTTTTTCTTGCTATACTGTAACTTTAAAGCATGATGATTCAGTAATCGTTATAATATCTAAATAAGGTATGTATTTTGGATTAGGGACAACTTTGGACCGAGATCAAATAGTATTTTATGATGTATTGGTATATCAGAAATTAGCTAAATTAAGTTTTACCTCTTTGACTTTTTTTTAATTGATTTGTGATGGTTCTTGTTCTTGTTGTTATTGTTTTGTTTATGCAGCTTCTCTCAAGATAACATTTCAAATTTATCTTTAAATTTTTTCTAGATTTTATAAACATTTTCTCATAAGACTTATAGGAAGCCAGAACTCTAACCGCTACACCATGGCTGCACATCTTTATAACAATAAATTAAGAGCTAGAACTCGTTAATAATTGGCTTGAAGAAAATAAACATCTAATAATTATCTCTAGAAAATGTATTCTATTAGCAAAATCATTCATCTATGAACTTATATACATTTTTTATAGATGAGATTTTTAATTATAATTTTAAACTATAATTAAAAATCTCATTTCACATTTACCAACATCAGCATAATACATAAGAAAGAAAATGGGATTGTTCAGCAATAGCGGAACAATCCCATTTTCAAAAAAACTATGGTAATTTTACATGGAACAATAAAAATACTTAAAAGTAGGGGTTAACAATTTTAACAGAAAAGTGAGGTAAGCCCTTGAAATACAACGCTATAAATGTGCACCTTCAGACAGCAGTCTGAATCAGGATGACAGAGGTTATGTTATAACTTCCTTTTGGAAACCTATGTTTTAATATTTGAATCAAAAGAAACTATTTCATTGATTGGTTTTTGTTTTGTTTTTAACAGTTTTTTATATATATTATACTTGGCAACAAGGGTATCTATAGTCCTTTGAAATATTGTATAAAAATGACTTCAAAAAATACATCCATAATATTAGTTTTTAATTATCAAAAGAAAAGTAACTAATATAAAATTATGATAAAACAATATTTTAAAAGTTTATTTGTCAAAGTTTGTTTTCTGCATTTTCTATTATTAATTAGGACATAAGGAAATTGTACAAATGTTTAAACGTATTTAATAAAAAATTTACTGAATAAAAACTACAAAGTTTTATATTTTAAAGGGATCCCTAAGTGCTCCTAACATATGATCTCATATGTAAGAGCATAAAAAAAAAAATATGTAAGTTTTTTTTCTTTTTCACTAAATTGTAATAATAAATGCATGCTAACAAAAAGCAATTGCCGAAATCACTGAAAAACAACCATTTTGATTTAATTTTTTCACCATTGAAACTCGATTGTTAGTTGTTAAAAATCACGTTAGTATGTCACAACAACTTTAGAATATCTACTTCAATTTTCAAGTAAAAAAAAGTCGTAATAATAGTTGAGTTTTTAAACAAGTTTTTTTAATTAGTTTTGCAAAAACAGTATAATAGCATTCGGTTTAAAGACGTCGTTAAAAAAAAGTTATTAAGTAATAGTTTTAAATAGTTTAGAACTTATAAAAAAGTCTTACAGGGCTCGTATTAAGCATATCGCAATCGCGATTGCTTTTCACACTTTTGCAATTAGTTTTTTCTTAAAAGAAATCTTTTCGCGATTTGTTTTTTTTTTGGTTGTTTAATTACTTTTTTACTAGCTTAGCATTTTTTTTAGCAATTCTTAAAAGTAGTGTTTTTATCATAAAGAACGTCACACAAAATTTATTATTCTAAATAGATACATTTGCTCTTTCGCGCGGAGATTTTCTTTCAACGTTAAACATTTTTGGATTTAAATTACTTTAAATCTCTGCGTGGAAAATTTTTACTAGGTCGTTAAAGCGAAAAGTTGAAAAGTTGGTTTTTACCTTTGTTTATCAAAACTTCATGCTTAAAATAAGGCTTAAAAACGTTAGAGCAAAAAAATTACTGACTTTTACTTGCATTTTTATACTGTTTGAAAAAAAAAACTAACAAAAAAGAATTAATTGTTATTGTTATTAATTCTAATAATTATTAATTAATATATTATTAGTGAATTCTTTTTTATTTTTTTATTTTTTTTTCAAACAGTTTAAAAATGCTAATAAAAACCAGCAATTTTTTTTACTTTAACATTTTCAAGCCTTATTTTAAACATGAAATATAATTCGATTTATTTAACCAAATTTTTTTGTTTCATCTTTTATTGGAAAACTTGAAATAGAAAAATTGAATAAAAACATCAATCATTTAAATGCAAAACAATAAATTATAAAAAACGTGGTATTACCGCACATCGGCGCGAGCTATAAGAGAGAGAGAGAGAGGGGGGGGGGGGGGGAGAGAGAGAGAGCAAAAAAAAAAAAAAATTTTTTTTCGCGATTAGAATTTTTTTCCTTAAATCGAGCCCTGTCTTAGTTTAATTTCTAATAAAATGTCTATTTAACCTTATCAATTTGAACCAAAAAAATATAGCAAAATTAACATAAATGTTAATTTAACTAAAACATTTTACAATAATTATTTTTTTTATCAAGCAAAAATGAGAGTAACCGTCACTTTTGAAACCATAAAAATGACTGAAATAAATTTATTTTTCTACTAAGGAAATATTTTAAATAAACTTTCATGCGTCTAAATCAATATTCATAAAACTGACTAAAAAGAGTTAAAAATTTAACTTCTATTCATTTTTGGCCGTGGAATTGCCCTTATAACACAAATATATAAATTAAAATTATAAAAAAAATTTTAATATACAAATATATTTTCACAAAATGCTACAAAACTTATTCTTGTAAGTAATTATGTGTTAGTTGAAAAAAAAACGACTTTACATTTAAATTTAATTACCAACTAATAAGTTTGCAATAATGACATTTTGTCTACTTCGTTTATTTTGATGTACAAACGTTAGTTTTTTGAGGCAGTAGAGTCAATAAACTTTGGACAAGACGCATTTTTTTTAATAGAAGAAAAGCGTTTTTTTGAAAATTAAATTTGTTAGTGTGTGTTCATTATTACGTTTTAGAAAAAATAATATACATCAAACATTTTTTTTTTTAATGCTCTTTCATATGATATCATATCTTTATAGCACTTAGGGATCCCTTTAAACAAAAATACTTTTTTATTTTTATTTTTTTACATTTTTTTTTAAGGATATGGAGATCAAGTAATATTTATGATTTAAAGATAAACTAAATTTGTCAAAAAAAAAATTTTGACAGGCCTTGTTTTCTTAGCAGCTCGCATTTTTCTTAAATGTCAAAAGCGTTCAGTTAAGCGAAAGCTTTTTTTATTTTGAATACCTAAATTATCTTTTAATATAGTTTATGTGACGTTTATTCAGAAATTTATGTCAAAAAAAAAAAAGCATTTTAATAGAACTGAGAGTTTTGTTAAAAAAAGAAATGATTTTGTAAAAAAAAAAATGTGAATTTAAAAAAAATTTAAATTAAATAAAACTTTAAAAATTTAAATTTAGTTTTTAAGGAATGTAAAATAGTAAAATATTGAATGTAAAATATAGTTTCAAATAAATTAAAAATAGTCTCGCAACTTTTATAAAACAATTTTTTTTTACTGTCTGCTAACTAATTCAATATGTAAAATATGTCTTTCCATCAAAGAATAAAAAATGTGAAAGCAAATTAAAACCTTTTTTTTTTCTTATAAAAAAGCTTTTGTTTAAGAAAATTCTTTTCACAAATGTATTCAAAATTTTTTGTTTCTGATTAATTTCAATATTATTTAATATTTATTTAATTCAATGTCATGTAAAATACTTTTGAGGTAATACATTTATGAACATAAATTACGTTTACAAATATCTAATTAGTAACTGATAGTCTTTCTATAAATTATTTATAATCCTTATAAAAAATACTACATTAAATACATAATAAATAAATCGTGATAAACAAACAAAAGATTATGTTAAGTATAAGATTGTTTTGAAAAATAAATTACAAGGTAATATAATCTTTTTCAAATACCGAATTTAGATTCTATTAATAACTTTTGTTAAACTGGTAAAATTTTGTTAAACTGCTAAATTAAACAATTTTTAAAGGGGTTTAAAATTAAATTTGCGATACTTTAAAATACTTTCAAAATATCAAAAGCTTTTAGGCTCCTGTAATAATTAAGATCCTTATAATTACAACACATTAAAAGTCAAGGGTTTTAATGAATTTTTAAATTGTTTTTTTATATTTTTTAATACCTTGTTGTTGCAAAAAACCATCTTAAAAAAACCTTTTTTTAAATAGATTTTTTTAAGGTGGGTTCATCTGGGTTGGATCTTTTTGCCAAACCTGCTAGACACATAAAAACATTAACACCAGTAGAGATCTTGAAAACATTGTTGAATATATTCAAATAGTCAAATATATACAGTCAAATAGTCAAATATGGTTCAATGTTAAAAGGTACGAGAGTTTCATAAAAAAAGCCTTTTTTTACTTTATTCAGCTGATTTCAAAGTTTGATTTTAAAGTTCAAGATATTACACTGCCCGTAATTTTTTTTGTACATAACCTGAAACTTTATTGCTACTCTACTTTAATATGATGAACACGCTTACAGAATAAATAGTGCTGTAGCAACAGTGTTGTTTTATGTTAAATTTTGTTTTTCAAAAACATAATTAAACATAAAAGCTAAATAATAAAAACCTAATAAATACCAATAAGCTCCTCTCTTTTGTCAATAGCTTCTGCTCTCATCTCAACAGGTATGTCTTTTACGATAACATTGTTCCTAAAAGAAATTAACGGCTCCTTACATTTTTTTAAAAATATTTTATTATTTTTTTTTTAATATCTTTAAATATCACACATGCCTATCATTTATTTCAACAAAATGATTTGAGATTATATATAAGATAATGAAGCTATCACACATTATGTGAGTTCAAATTTTTAATATTGAATATTGTTAAATTTTCTTAATATTTTTATTTATTTTCATTTATAAATTTTTTGTGTATAAATAAGTTGGTAACTCCAGAAAACAATTGTTAGAAAAAATGCAACTCCTTAAAAATATAATGACCAGATATAAATCAAAGTACACATGGTATATCATAGTAGACCATGCAACATTATGGTACAGTGCTTTTTGTTATTGTATTATGTAAATTGTAAATTATTATTTTTTAATATAAATATATAATACAATTATATGTTATTAATTATAAATAGATTAGATTAGCAATTATTAAGAATTAAGATGCCAAGTTTACATTTTGGAATTAAAGATCCTTATGATGGATTATAAAGGAAAGAGAAAATGTTAACCTGTTCAACTGTAGAAAGAGATTTTTCTTTACATAGTTTACAAAATGCAAGCAAATTTTTATATTTTAAAGGTGCAATCATCTATATATATCTTATATAATATAAACATACTTTAAATACTATCATGGGGATAGCATAAGAGGCAATAATGTTTATCTGATGAGATAAACAAGTTATTGTTGATAATATTTTAATTAGTATTATTTACTATTATTTACCCCGTTCCATTACGGGGTAAATAATGGACCAAAAAAAAAGTCTGTAAATTTTTCAAAATTTTAAAGTATCATCTAGAAAAACAAAAAAAGTGCCATTTTGAAAAAGTAGCGTTTTTTACTCTTTTTTTAACTTTAAATTTAAATTACTTAAAAAATAATTAATTTCATTTTATGTTACATGGTGTAGGTAATACAGATTATCAGATGAACATTTGGCCAAATTTTCAAAAAAAAAATTGGTTAATGTCTAGAGGTCACCATTTTATAAAGTTTAATTTTTTTAACATATATCTTTGCTAAAAAATTCCTTAAAAAACTTAATACTTTTAATAAAATGCAAAATTTAAGTTTTAAGCATAATTGACCACTAAAAGTCGTTGTGTGATTAAATAGTTTGCAAAATAAGAATCTGTAAGTATGTATATAAATTTCATAAACTTATTTAAAAAAAGTTGGCTGTTATATCAATTAGCAAAATTGAAATTTTAAAAATAATTTTAAAACTAGTTTATTGGATAATATTTTATTATAACCATGAACCTTAGAAAAAAATAATCAAGATTGGTTAATTGGTTACCCTGAAACCAATAAATTATCAAGCTTCAGTTGCCTACCAACATTAAAACATGTGTTAGGTAGATATATATACAGTCAAATTTACATTTATATTCAAAATAAATACTCACATTTACATTTATATTCAAAAGCGACACTTCTGCAAGAGATTTTTAAACTTGTTCTTGTTGAACTTATGGGATCCCAAACTCCCAACACATGTTGTGTTCATATTAAAGATAATGTTAAAAAAAAAAGATTTGAACCAAGTTTTTTTGATTAAAAATAAATAATGAATGCATACCAAGAAAAACTAATGTTGCTATTTTAGCTGAAGCTTGCCTTCTCCATTTTTTTCAATAACTCAGAGTCTTCAAATTATACGGCGCAATCTACAGACTTTGGTGATTCCTTTGAAGTGCGTTTAATTCATAAAAGTATTAGTATTTGATGTCACAGTAGACTTTTAACAAATGAAAAGTGTAATTAAGCTAAGCTGCGTTTTTCTACTATAGTATTTTTTTAACATACAGCAAAACAAATTTATTTGTATTATTTTTCCAAAGCAAAAAAAATTTTGTAAAAAGTAAAAGCAATAAAATATTTTTATTTTATTGAAGCAACTTATTTTTTACAGATATCTTAACAATTTTTAGATTTATATATATTACTTATATTTCTTTTGTTTTTAAATTAAAATAAATATTAAAACTTTACTTACCAATCATATAATTTTCATACGAGTATTTTACATTATATAGAACGTTTGATATAGGGTCTCTCGTTTTTGTGTAAGAGAGCGCAGTATTATATATTCTGATTTTTACTTATTTTTATTTAAACAATAGCAACTATTTTCTAACTTCTCTGGTTATTTTTATGCTATGACATTTTTTGTTTTCCCGTCAAAAAAAAGTATTCATTAACAATTACTTTCATAAACTGACAGTATTAGTTTGAGATATTTGATGAATTGTTAACTTTTTTTATTATAAAACTTTTTTGATTACGCTGATTTAATTTAAATTGCTAAATTTGCTGAACTGGATATGGATAAAAAGGAAATATTGTTTTATTTTACATTTGATTTTTGATAATGAAACTTTTAAAATGTCGGCAACTCCATAGCAATTAGAACCTGTTAGATTATTATAAAAAAGTACAAGAACACACTAAACAATACAGTTGACAGTAGTATCAGATATGAAAATTTGTGAACAGATATGTAAGATCTTGATTTTGCATTAAAAGTACAATTTATAGCAACACAAGTCCGCATTATAAATTTTGATTATAAGTTTACTGTTCAATATTTTATAACATCAAATTAAAAACATGAAGTTCGTATAATTTTGCCCATGTTATACAACTAATATTTAACAAAAATACGGAAAATTATTATTAAATAACGCAATAATTAACACATTAATTAATGGCAATAATTCAAGGTAGACGGTTATTTAAATTGTCAAAACGTCATAACGCGCGTTAAAAAACATATTATGTTTGGTATTTCCCAATTTGTGTCGTATTTGGCATTTGTCTCTTCCAATTCTCATTTATTCAAAGAAAAGTTACTATAAAACTTTTATTTCTCTCATTTATAAAAAGAGCGCGCGATGAAATAAAAACTTTTCTTTCTTAACATAAAATAATACTTAGAGATAAAATTAAATTAGAAATAAAGAAGCAACTAACAGATTAATATGGGACTTTTGTGACATTAATGAAAATAATCAACATAAACAACATTACCAACAATAATTATTAAATAAACAACACAATATCGCATAATTTTAGGGGCTATTTATTTTTATTGATTAGTCGTCCTAAGTAATAAGTAAATTTAGTTCAAGTTAATATTTTAAGAATTACAGTTGCAATATAACAAAAAAAAAGATGTTTAATGTTGAACTTTTTATTTATTTATTTTTTACCTACTTTTGTTATAAAAAGACTTTAGTACCCCCGTAATTTAAATAATTTGTTTTAAATATATATCGACGTGATTATTCAAACTAATTTTTTTTGTTTCACTTCCCGAACTTCATGCAAATTGAGACAAAATATTGTTTAACCAAATAAAAATGCTGTTACTAATTTTATACGGGTAACTAATGTAAAACATTTTTTTGATTGAGATAATAAATATTCATAACTTATAAACATTATATATATGGCGCAATAACAATTTATAGCAATGAACCAGCATAAAATATTTAAGTTTTTTATATCTTTTTAAATGTTAAAAGTAGAAAAAAAAAAAAAATAAACAAATAATCAAAAAATTTTCGAATAAAAAAAAAAAAATTTCCAGAGTTTTATTTGTTAAAAGTCTACTGTGACGTCAAATACTAAAACTTTTATGAATTAAATGCGCTTCAAAGGAATTACCAAAGTCTGTAGATTGTGACGTATAATTTGAAGACTCCGAGTTATTGAAAAAAATGGAGAAGGCGAGCTTCCGCTAAAACAACAACATTAATTTTTCTCGGTATGCATTCATTATTTATTTTTAATAAAAAAAACTTGATTCAAACGTTTTTTTTTAAACATTATCTTTAATATGAACACAACATATGTTGGGAGTTTGGGATCCCTTTAAGGAAGTTTGGGAAAAAGCTGGAGTACCAATTCAATCAGATAACTCTTGAGTTTTATTGCTTACCAAATAGTTGGGGGAAAAGGTGAAAATAAAAAAAAATTCAAAAGTCAAAATGTTAAAGCTGGAAAAAAAAAATTCAGATATTGTAATGAACTTGAGCAACTTTGTGACATTTCACCAGTAAATGCATATGAACAATTATTAATATCATGTAGACCAAAATGGAAAGAAGATGGGACATTTTATGAAGAACATGACAAGTAGCATCAATTTAGGTGTTACAATATTTTTAGAACATCAAGAAGATAGACTAAGCATGGATTTTCAGAAAAAGTCAACCGCAGATCAAAAATCTTCGAAAGCCTTTGAAGTCAGTGAATTAGTTGAAAGTGCTGATGAAGAAGATCAAAAAGAGTTTACTTCTTTACCACCAAAGAAAAAAAAGATGCCTTTAACAAATTCACTCGAAATATCAGCAAAAAAGCTCTCAGAAGTAACGGCATCTGTGCCAGACCAATGTTGTTTATCAGTTAGCCAACAGGTTCTATTTCAATCCAATATTATCTGAAAAAACGGAGGCAAACTTAATGATATGTCCATGTCAGTATCAACTATGCATCGTCAAAGACAATATGCGCAGGAGAATATTGTTATGTGGATTAAAGCTGACTGGGAGATTAACAAACCTAAAAAGGCTATTTTGCACTGAGATTAGAAGCTTTTTCATTTAGACATAGCTTATAATGAAGAACATGTAGCAGTTCTTATAAGCGGATCTCTTAACGGGACTTATTTATTCATATAAATCCTATGTATATTTTTTATTTTTGTTTTCAAAGAAATTAACAACTTTTATTTGTAGGCCAAAACTTATTGGTGTACCTTTGATCAAAGATTCGACAGGTAAAATTCAATGTGATGCGGCTGTGAAACTTGCGCAAGATTGGAACATTTTGGAAAACATTGCTGGTATATGCTGTATCACAACAGCAAACAACACATGTAATAAAAAAGAAGCAGCAACTTTAATTAAAATTGAGTTAAAGAGACCTCTCCTATGGCTAGCATGTCACCACCAACATAATGAGCACATCAATCATGCATTTACTGCATTACGAGGAGATAGGAAGAGTCCAGATGAACCCATTTTTAAATGTATCGAGCCGAAATTTTAAGAATTGATATTGATTACTCAAACTTTAATTTTTTTGAACCGCCTACTGAATGGCCTACTGACAAATCAAAAATATTTAATCAAGCAAGTTTAGTTCTGAAATGGGCTTACCAATGCCTGAAGAGAAAATATTTCTGCGAGAAAATTATTTTGAATTAATTGAATTAACTATAATCTACCTTGGGGGAAAACTATCAACGGACAGAATATTCAAAATTCACAAACCAGGTGCAATTTACAATGTGAGATTTATGTCACATTCTATATATATTTTAAAAATGGAACTCTTATCTAATAAATTAACATGTCCAATGATGGGCAAATTATGATCCACCGCATGGCTAAGTTTATTAGTCTTTTTTATTTGATGCAATTTCTCCGCTCGAGGATTTCCGTATTTGCTCCAGTCGATGACTTTAAATTTTGTTGTTGCAATGAAATGGTATCAAGAAGAAGATTCAGATATTGCAACTGCTGTGATATCGCAACCACTTTGTCAATTAACTGTCACCTTTGATATTTAACAGAAGAGCTTGTTATTTTATCTTTATTTAATGAAAAATTGTCAGAGTTTACCAGAACAATAATGGCAAAAAAAATTTTTCTACCCCAAGACCAAAAACGTTTTTAATTGGAAAACCAAAATTCCTGACATTAAATTCTTCACATTTTTTTTTTTTTTTAATTGGATCACGGTCTTTGCTTCTTTTTGATTTATTAGGACTAATAAACGACCATTAATGGCTCCAGATGAATCCACAAGATTGGAAGTTCTTCAAAGATAATCAAAAATTTTATTAAACAATTAAAGGTAACAAATGATTGTTCCAAATAGGAATCAAATTTATTGGTAATTTTCGTGAGTGTGCGGAAAATAAAGAACAGCGACAGTTTATTTTGCAAATTATTGAACAACACAAAAAGTAAAACCCATCCTATTCGAAATCAAAACTAATTAATACTTTATAGTATTTTTATATTACTACTATCTTCTTCTTAATTATTATTCTTACAAAAAGCTGAAGCCAAAAAATAGCCTAATTGAATTATATATTTTTTAAGATTTAAAAAGTAAAAGGTTTTATCACTTTATATTTAATACAGCGACCTTTAGACATTAACCAATTTTTCTGAAAATTTCACCAAATGTTCATCTAATAATCTTTGATGTATACATCCAGTAATGTAACATAAAATTAATTTTTTAAGATAATCAAATTTAAAGTTTTCATGATGGCAACTTCTAGATGATATTTTAAAATTTTGAAAAATTTACAGACTTTTATTTGGCCCATTATATACTCTGTTATGCATGTAACGTAACCATTTTCAAAAATATGTCAAAAATGAAACACCCTACTGGACATATCTTAAATTTAATCTCAAAATTTTCTATCAAGTATAGTGCAAATAGTTGTAAGTTTAGTTTAGTTCATAATCATATATATATATATATATATAATATATATATATATATATATATATATATATATATATATATATATATATATATATATATATATAATATATATATATATATATATATATATATATATATATATATATATATATATATATAAATATATATATATATATAATATATCTAAAGTGATTTCCCGCTTAGAATCTTCTACCTGTATCTAAATTGTACTGTATCTAAAGTGATTTCCCTGTATCTAAAGTGTATCTAAAGTGATTTCCCGCTTAGTATCTAGTTAGTATCCCGCTTAGTATCTATTTAGATACTAAGCTTAGTATCCCACTTAGTATCTATTTAGATAAGTATCTAAAGTGATTTCCCGCTTAGACTCTTCTACAGCTTGCGGCCCGGACAACATACCTGTTATAGTCTTGCAGTAGTGTTCTCCTGAGCTGTCGTCTATCTTTTCAAAACTATTCAACAAGTGCTTATCAGAGTCTTGTTTTCCAGCCTGCTGGAAAGCAGCATCTGTTATCCCTATTTTAAAAAATTCTGGAGAGCGATCTGACTCATCTAACTACCGTCCCATTAGTCTTCTTCCTATCATAAGCAAGGTTTTTGAATCTTTAATTAACAAACGCTTAATCTCTCATCTCGAATCTCATAACCTACTTTCTGATCATCAGTATGGATTTTGATCTTCTCGTTCTACGGCTGATTTGCTATCAGTAATAACCGATAGGTTTTATCGCGCATTAGATAAAGGTGGAGAGGTTAAGGCCATTGCTCTTGACATTTCTAAAGTGCTTGATAAAGTTTGGCATGGTGGTCTCCTCCATAAGCTTTCTTCTTACGGTGTATCTGGAAACATCTTTAAGATTATTGAATCCTTTATTTCTAATCGTAGTATAAATGTTGTCCTTGACGGACAGCACTCTTCTTCTTATTCTGTAACCTCAGGGGTTCCCCAAGGTTCAATCCTTGGCTCTATACTCTTTTTAATTTACGTTAACAATCTTCCATTTGTTCTCACATCTAAGGTGGCATTGTTCGCTGATGATACTGCCATTTGTTCTTGTCACGATAAGAGGCCAACTCCCTCTGATTGCTTGCAGGGGGCATCTGAGCTTGAAAAGGATCTCACTTCTGCTACAGCATGGGGCTCACAGTGGCTGGTGAACATTAATTCAGATAAAACTCTTTTTCGGTCAATCGTTATCGCAATAATTTAGACCTTCCTATATTTATGAACGGTAATGTACTCGATGAGTCTCCTACCCTTCATCTACTAGGATTAACTCTTACTTCTGATCTTTCTTGGAAACCTTATATCAAATCCGTTGCAAAATTAGCATCTGCTAAAGTTGCTTCTCTTTATCGAGCTCGTCACTTTCTTACTATAAATCTCAAATCCGGCCTTGTATGGAATACTGTTGCCATATCTGGGGCGGATCTTCTAATGATGCCCTTTTTCTTTTAGACAAGGTGCAAAAACGCATTGTAAACATAGTTGGACCTGCTCTTGCAGCCAACCTTCAACCTTTTTGGAAGCAAAGATAAAAATATATATATATATATATATATATATATATATATATAGATATATATATATATATACATAGTTGTGTACCCTCTGGTTTTTTCCCTGAAAACTAAAACAGTTTTTATTTCTCATTTGAGTTGTCTGCTATGATAATCAGTAGTCTGGTGTATAAGTATTTTTTTTTGTATTTTTCTCGGTTGAAACTAATATTTTTAAATATTTAGTGTACTTTGTTTTTAAGGAGCAAATCATTAATGCCATGTACTTTGTTTTTAAGGAAGAACTATTATAATTTTGTTAGTGAAAAAGCTATAAAAGACAAAACACTTACGACTGCAAAAGTAGCAATACTCTAGTCATTAACTGCATTATAAAAGTAATAAAACTATAACAGTGTTATTACTTTTATAAAGCACTTATAACTTTTAAAGTTCATTCTTTGTTCAAACAAAATTAGTAATTTCAAACTTTAATAAAAGTAGATAAGCATCTAGAAAATATAAACTTTAATAAAAGTAGATAAGCATCTAGAAAATATAAAGTGGACATTCAAATATTATTAAAAACTTTAGGAACTTTTACAAATACTTAAACAACTTTGTAATGACGTTCCTTATAAAAAGTTTGCCATTATGAAAAATGCTACTAATAGCCCGTAAAAACGTGCGTTAATTTTAAAATCAACCAATAAAAAGTTTTTATTAGTTCAATGCATGTTTTTTACAGACCATTAGTACGTTTTTCATAATGTTAAACTTTTTATACACTACGTTTTTACCTCCTTTAAAATAAATTGCATGTTGTAAAATTAAATCTATAATGTCTTATTGGTATATCCTATTGGTAGTTAAAGAAAAGCAGCATTAAAATGAAGCTTGTTTTTCAGTTGTTTAAGTTCCTTAATAAGTTTTAAATATTATTTGAATATCCAATCTATTTTTCTAGATGCTTTTCTTTTTCAATATATATATATATATATATATATATATATATATATATATATATATATATATATATATATATATATATATATATATATATATATATATATATATATATATATATATATATATATATATATATATATATTGTATGACAGTACATCATAAATAGACTCAATTCATTTTGCTTTATTATTTTTCAAATTTTTTAAAAACATAAATATTTTGAAAACTAATTTACAAATAAAAACTAAAAATAAATAAACAAAAAATATAATAAAATATACCCAAAATCTCCTTCAAAATAAATTGCACGTTGTAAAATTAAATCTATAATGCCTTGAAAGTTTTTTTCAAGTCCTATTGGTAATTGAAGAAAAGCAGCATTAAAATGAAGCTTGTTTTTCAGTTGTGACAAAACTTTAGCAGGATTTGCTCCCATTCTATCAAGTTTATTAATAAAACCAATGCAAGGCACATTGTAGCGTTTCATTTGTCGATTTACTGTGAGTGTTTGACTCTATAAAATTAGATAAAATAAAACCCTAATATAATATGCAATTATGTAACATGTGACATAAAAAAGATCTTGAAAAAAAAAGTTTTATTTATTGATATTATACAAACTTAACTTGTACATTAAGGTTACAATTTATGTATCAAGATTGGAGTGTATTAAAGTAATAGTATTTTAATAGGTTAATACTTCAATTAGGGGGAACTTCACTTGAAATTAATAATGTATTAGGCAAATCCAAATAGTTGGTAAAATCCAATCATTAAATGACACTTTTAGTTGTGGACGAGTTGAGGATATAAACTTACTGTGATACTAATTTGCACTGTAAGATTTATTGATTTTGTCTGCCCTAAGAAAATTTTCATGAGTATTTTGTTTGTATTTTACACAACATAAGTTCTACAATGTAAACTAATATGAATTAATAACTACAACTAAAGAATTAATAACTATATTGTAAATTAATATAAATAAAACAGTAGGGTGTATGTATAGTTTTTATGTAGGGTGTATGCACACTAGTTAAAGTCACAACTATAAACAACCTTATAAAAAAAAAAAGTCCTTAAAATTTATAATTACCAGATTGAATGTGTTAAATTCATGACTAGCCGACTAAGTTCCTTAAAAAACTGACTATAACTTGAAAAACAGCTTCTTTGGGGAGGTGTCACACCCCTGTAAATATATATATATATATATATATATATATATATATATATATATATATATATATATATATATATATATATATATATATATATATATATATATATAGGCCTTGTTTTAAATAAAAAAGTGCTTAATGCATTAGCTTAACGCGATTTTGACGTCATAAAATTATCTTTATTTTTTTTTATAGGCGTTAAGTGTTTTAACTACCGCAATAAATAAATAACCGCAAACTAATTCAATTTAACAATTAACTCAAATATAAACTATAAACGTTTTAAATATAAATTTATTATGAAAATTTTGTAATGTTTTCAATTGTTACTTTATTATTAATTTTAGTTTAATATTATTTAGTAAAAAAAAATATATATATATATATTAATTATTTCTGAAATTTGTTTTTGAATAATTGTTTTTAATCGTTATTGAATAAAAAATAATAATGATTTTTTTTATTTTTAAAAATTTCTAGAGTAAACAAAAAATATTAACATTGATAAACACAAACCCATGTTAATTATTTAAACAACGATTTTGTTTTGACTAGCAAAGAAAAATTTAAGTTTTTAAATATTTTTTAAATTTTTAAAAGCGTTTCAACTTGCGTTTTAAAAAAATATAAAAAAGTTTTGTCTGCTTTGAAGCGTATTTTTGATACGTAGTTTAGAACGCGTTCGCTAGGAATTTAATTCATAAACTTTTTATCTTATTGTAAAAATATTTAACTTTTTAAACAAATCACAAAGAAACAGAGCTATAGAGAAAAATCGTTTTCAACGATTAAATCTTTTTTTATTTTTATTTTAGGAAATTAAAAAAAAATTAAATTAAATATAAAAGTCTTAATTATGCAAACTCTTTTGTTAATTATTCTTAAAACAAAAAAACAAATACTTCTACGTCAAACTTTAATCGTGCAAACTTATAAAAATACTCAACTGAAATAATTTAAGTATATTTAATAATTTGAATCGTATCTGTTTATAATAAACATTCGTAAAAATTTGTTTATTAAAAATTAAGTTCCTTAACTTATAAACAAACTCAAAAGTATTTTCATTCTACGTATAATTACAAAACTCTTTTTTTTTTTCGTTTGTAAGCAATTTAACTTAATAAAATAAAAAAAAAGAATAAATACGAGGTAATCTTTGTTAAGAATAAATTTAATTTATTTATTGAACTATATTTTTATTTTTAATTATATATCAACTTAATTAAAATATAGTAACATGTTAAAATATTTTAACATGACTTGTATTATTTATAAACCGTTGGGCAGTTGCTCTTACGGCACTATTGTTTTTGGATAATATTTTATTTTGATGAAGATCACATAACTTACATTTGATTTTAATAACGTAAGTCTTCTCTTTTTCTGTGATCATCGCATCGGCAAAGTCCCAAGATTTAAAAGTTTTTAAAGTAAATCTTTTGTCCTTCAAAATACAATCCATATTCAAACTTTAAATAATTTAGAGATAATAGAAATATACAAGGTTTTTATATACTAGTTTGTTTTGTTTTATAAAGAAAAATACATATTCATTAGTAAAAAATGGAGACTGTCATTAAACTAAAACGTGCCTTAGTATTTATTTAACGGAACCTGTAATGTGCGCGTGCATAATAAAACCTCCGTTATATAAATATATTTAACGTAATATTAGTGTCATCAGCGGATGTTGTAGTCTACTCATGATTTCTTTACCTTATATTATAACTTGATTTATGACAAAAAAAACTTATTGAATCGCACGCAGAAGAATTTTAACAAATTGTCTTCATTCAAATATTAATATTGCGAGTAACAGGTAATTTTTTTTTCTGTGCCGACCCTCTCCCACCGCATAACTTAAACTATATACTAATAAACTAATAAGAAAAGCTATATACTATTAAACTAACTATAAGCTATATACTATTAAACTAATAAGAAAAGCAAAGACATTTTTTTTAACATCTCGAAAAAATGTCTTGATATTTTTGTTATCATGATAACAAAAATATTAAGACATTTTTTGAGATTTTATTAAAAAAAATGTCAATTCTTAATTACAATTTTTTTTGCAAATGTTTTTTATTATAAATTCAGTAAAAAATTCATAAAAAATCTATATTACAAAAAACTTTTATATTCTGTATTAATAAATATGGAATATAGATTTTTTAAAAGTTTTTTACTAAAAACTTTGCTACTTTTTATTAAAAACATTCCAAAAAATTTGTAGTTAAGGATTGACAAACAATTTTTCATGTTGCTAAATATTTGGATAAAAAGTTTAGCGTCAAATTAATTGCTATAAAAAGGAAAGATATATCGCGATGAAAAGTTACAACAATTAATTTTAAAGTAAATTCTTTTTTTTAATAAATACCTTTACATATCGTTATTTAAAAGTTAATGTGGTTTTTTTGAAAATTAATTACTTCTTTTATGTTACCGCTAATTTAAAAGTTAAAAAATGATAAAAAGTAGCTTAACCAAAACAGCTCTACGCGTACGTAAAAAGCGCTTAAGGCGTACGTAAATCGCTCTAGGCGTAACGCTTTAAAACAAGGCCTGTATATATATATATATATATATATATATATATATATATATATATATATATATATATATATATATACTCTGTATATCGATATATATACAAATATTTGCTTCGTAAAGTTGAGTACTTTACTCAAGTTGTCAATGTGATGGATAAAATAAACTTTGATTACCCAATAAAAAACATTTCAATACCGTCAGAAAGAGACTTTAGTTTAAAATTAATAAACAAAACGGAATTACTTTAAAAGAAAATGAGATGGAAAGCATTCTATTTTATTAATAACGATCCAAGAATTAAAGACAAAATCAATTATAAAAACTATGGAATTAGATCTCCTATATGTCCACTGCAAATAAAAGAAATGTAATTTCTTCGAAAAAGACTTATTCAATCTTATTAAATTAATAAGGTTTCGAGACATATGCAACACTTTTTAAAACCCTAACACGAGCTGACAAAACATCAAATATGTATAAACTGTCCAAGTAGGATTACAATAATCCTACTTGGACAGTTTATAACAATAAGACTAAAAAAAACAAATCCAAAACTAAAAGATCATATAAACATATATAAATAATAGAGGCATATAAATAAATTTAAAAAAAAACGGATCCTTTAACTGTTTTTTCACTTTGAAAGACCACAAGGATAACTTCGTCAAAAATTCATCTGTGCGCCTTTTCAACCCTTTAAAAAATGAGGTAGGACGAATTACTTAAGTAATTTTAACAAAAATTAATAATAAACTTAAATTGAATAAACTTTTTTTGAATCAATCAAAAAGTATGCAAAATTTTGTAGACTGGTTTACAAAAATCACCGATAAGCACTTATACAAATTCCTAGTTTTTGATATTAATGATTTATACTTTTCCATAAATGAAAACTTCCTCAAAAATGGTATGAATTTTGCTGACTATCATATCATTATTAAAGCAAAGACAAAGCATTGATAAAGCATGCAAGAAAATCTCTTATCTTTAACAATGATGAATTAAAAAAAGAGGTGGGTTGTTCGATGTAACAATGGGGGGATTTGATAGTGCTGAAGTTTACGAATTAATAGGTATTTTCATACTGTATCAAATTTTACAACATTATAATAAAGAAGATTTCAGCCTATATCGTGACAACGGCCTAGCTGTATTCAAGAATAAAAACAGTCAGCAAATGGATAAAATCAAAAAGCATATAACAGTCATTTTTAGAAGAAAAGATCTTTAAATCACCAATCAATCTAACTTTAAAATTGTTAACTACCTCGATGTTACATTAAATCTAAGTAACAATATGTTTCAACCATATTTTAAACCTGATAATTAAATAAGGTACATCCACTCTAATTCTAATCACCCTCCAAGCATAATAAAAGCAATCCCTCGCAATATTGAACAAAGATTATCTTCCATCTCAATGAAATATTCTTCAAAAAGGCTATTCCACCATATGAAGAGGCTTTAAAAAAATCAGAATACAAATCAAACCTTACCTACCAAACACAACTCGAAATGAACAAAAAAAGCATCGCGAACTTAATATTATTTGGTATAACCCTCCATTCAGCTTAAATTAAAAAATAGAATTTAAGTTATACTTATATAATTATTTTTTATAAATCTTTTTTAACTGAATTTTAATTTTTTTAATCAAACAAAATAAAACTATCACTATAATACATAAAACATAACAAAGCAGTCTTTATAAAACAGTTAAAACAAATGTGTTAAAGGGATCCCAAACTCCCAACACATGTTGTGTACATATTAA